GGCAGATGCTGGCTGCGAGAATTGGTGTGGGTATCGGTGAGGCTGGATGCTCACCGCCCGCACATTCAATTATTGCAGATTACTATCCGCCCCATGAGCGCGCTTCCGCTTTATCGATTTATGCGCTGGGTATCCCAATTGGGAGCATTCTCGGTTATCTGATCGGTGGCTGGGTCGCCGAGTTGTACGGTTGGCGCACCGCTTTTTTAGTCGCCGGTATTCCCGGAATTGCGCTGGCGGTGCTGGTGAAGTTGTCAATTCGCGAACCCATCCGTGGTATGTCAGACGCCGGATCGGCGGCACCAAGTGCGCAACCTCCCATTGGCGATTCAATGCGGGAACTCGGCCGCAGTAAAGCCATGGTGCACATTGCCATGGGCGGCGCGCTGACTTCGTTTGTGGGTTATGGCCTTGGCCAGTGGTTACCGGCCTATTTTATTCGTATTCATGAACTGGGCATTGCCGAAACGGCGACCTATTTCGGGCTGGTCATTGGCGTGGCCAGTGCTATTGGCACGTTTCTGGGCGGCACCCTGGCCGACCGCCTGGCGATAAAAGATCGTCGCTGGTACACCTGGCTACCTGCTGCCGGCGTGCTCATCGCGTTTCCGTTTTATGTGGTGGGTATGCTGGTTGCCAATCCCTATCTGGCGATCGCCATCATGGTGGTGCCCAGCCTGCTTAACTCACTGTGGTTGGGTCCGGCCTTTGGCACCATCCAGAATCTGGCGGCTGCACCAATGCGGGCGATGGCATCCGCGATGCTGTTGTTTGTGTTGAATATCATCGGCCTCGGATTGGGCCCCTTCCTGGTGGGTGTGCTCAGCGACCTGCTCAGCCCAAGCTTTGGTGCCGATTCATTGCAGTACGCGATTCTGATTGCAACCTTTGCCTATTTCTGGGCGGGCGCACATTTCCTCATGGCAGGACGCACCATCCGGCAGGAACTGGACGCTCGAGCGGCGGGCGAAGTTGTGGCGAGCTGACGCGATTCGACTAGGCGAGGCTTCGATAGAAACGCACCAGAAGTTCCTCGCTGGCCAGGATAGCAATCACAACTGCAACGAAGACAACAACGCCGTGCAGAGGGCCGGCAAACGTGACGGCGTCGCCAAATACAAAATCAATCGCGAATAAAATAACGAACTTGGAGCTGAACAGGATCAGCCAGGCGCAGAATATCCGCAGTACTTTTGCAGTTGCGCCGGGCCTGCCTTTAAATACGTTGGCGACCTTGTGTTCTACAAGCAGGGTCAGCTTTAACAGCAGCTGCAACAAAATTGCGGCAAGCAGTGCGATGGTAAAAGAGTCTATCGTGACAAGAGACCAGTATTCAGCGAACAGGCTTAACACCACAAGATCAGTAAGGATGGCCGTAAAGTAACGCAGGAAAAGTTGTTGGTTATTGGACGGTGCGTTTGCGGATGCAACTTCGGGAATGTCCAGTTCAGGCGTTGTCGTTTCGATGTTGCTCATGGCGCGGTCGATTTTTCTGAGAATAGCGGGCACATTACCAAAGCTGACCGGGCTTTCCGAGCCTGCTTGTGCGGCGCGGCTCAGGTTGTGGGCTGCATTTTATCGTTCAGTGCTGGCGCTGGGTTACGTTTATTGGTCCAAATTTGGGGTGATGGCCCCATGGCAGATGTACGTGCGTGGGTCATAATGGTCATATGCCACATCGCATGAATACCAAGCGAAGTACCCGACGCCTACCCTATGTCGGTGGGCTGGTGTTTGCCTGTGGCCCCGTACCCGTCCAGGCACTTACTGAAAACTTTGTGCCCGGCATGGGCGATTATATATTTTTCACCTTTGTCATCAGCGCAGTGTTGTTCAGTTCCGCTATTCTGGCCGCGATAGGCGCCTACCGATGGCTTGTTTACGCAGGCTTTGCAGCGCTCATGGTGCTGAACGCGGCAGCATCGGGTGGGGTTGTCTCTTATATCGTTGGTCCCACGGACTTTAATCTGTTTGTTGTCCCTTATCTGGTTTTTAGCGGTCTGACTGTCTACGGGTTCTGGATGGCCGGGTGGCTGCTGGAAGAACAGCATGCATTGGCACGATATAGAAAATGGTTCTATGCGCTGGGTTTAGCCGCCGCAGTAGGCCCTTTGACCAGCTATTTCTGGTTGCGCAGAATTCCGTTGAATCTGATGTGGATACCGGAGCAGATTCTTTACATCGTTATGATTATTGCTCAGATCCTGCCACCCTTAACCTGGCAGGCGTTAGGTCCGGTGCAACGGCGGCTGGTGCTGGCTTTTCCAGTTGTCGTTGGATTATTCATTCTTGGTTCGGCGGGCGTGAGTCAGGCGTTTCTGGAGCTGTCTCAGGAAGAGCTGAACACACTGGCACGCATAAGTATCGCTGTGTTTGTCAGTTTTGCCATGGTATTGGTGTTATGGCAGGCATTTGCAACAACAAAAGCAAAGCAGGAGATGGAGCGGCAGGCGCTCGAAACGGCAAAGAGCGAAGCGGAGCTTCAGCTTGCGCTTGTAGAGTCGGAAAAACAGTATGAGCGCGCGCGATCGATTGCGGCTCAGCAGCGTAGCCAGCTCGCCAAAGTCTCGCACGATCTGAAGCAGCCCATATCAGCGCTGCGGATGGCGGTTGGCAGCATGGAAGTTGATGGTGACAAGGCGAGCACGTTGAATCGGGCTATCGATTATGTTGACCAGCTGGCGCAGACATTTATTGCACCGAATCAGCTCGATGGTGAGGGCGCCGGTGCAGATGATGAAGCGCTTAGCAGTGGGGGTGGGGCTAGTGAAATGGTGTCCACTCGTTTATTTGCTGAAAGCCTTGAACAGATGTTCGCGGACGAAGCCTTGCATGCTGGTGTGGGTTTTAAGGTGCTATGCCAAAAGGCAACTGTGTCTGTTGTGCCTCTTGTCACCATGCGCATATTCATGAATCTTGTGGCCAACGCGCTGGCACACGCGAACGCCAGCCGCATATTAGTGACCCTGCGGCGCCGTCAGGAGACGGTTGAATTCACCGTCTATGACGATGGGGTTGGTATGGATGCGCATGCCATCAGGCGTGCCATGGAGAAAGGTGGAAAAGGGCCGGACTCAGGCGGTGATGGTCTGGGTTTGAGTATAGTTCAGGATCTTTGCGAATCTCAGGGCTATGATTTCCGACTACGTTCTCAATCCGGGCAAGGCACTGCCGTAACGGTAACGCTTACCTAGCGGACATGCCTGGCGAAGGCGAGCCGGTTTGCAGATCCGTAACGCGTTCGCCAATCTTCAGGGTGAAACATTCTTCACAGGTCTGCATACCGCCGTTAATACGTGTTGAAACGGTATAACAGATGGGTTCAAGTTTTGCGTCGACCTTGACTGTGCAGGTGATTCCCTCGTTTTTAGCCACAAATGCCTGGTCCACGCAGTAGGTCGGGTTGTAGTCCTCAAACGTTATGCCGAAAGCTTCGACGGCTGGATAGCCTGAACTGTTGTTGTCCAGCGTCCAGATGATTTTATCATTGGGTGCGATGCTAACTGGAGCGACATTTTCCGGGCACCCGCTCACGTTTACTGAGATGGAACTTGTTACCATTTCCGTCGGTGATGGAGGCTCGATACAGCCAGTTAGCAGAGCGCAGCAAAGCGCCGGTATTGTGAGCTTCATAAAAACAAATTTGCTGGAGTTGAATGGATGATTTCAATAATCGCTGGTATCAATAACCCATATATTACAAAGTCGATAGGGTGTGCGCAGAGAAATTGTCACAGATGAAGCAGGCCTATTCTGTTGTCATCGCCGACGATCATGAGATCGTGCGCGATGGCCTGCGTGTCACTCTGGTGCGTCAGTCTGCTTTAAAGTTCGACATTGTAGGCGAGGCCAGCAATGGGATCGAGACTGTCTCACTCATCAAACGGTATAAACCGGATCTTCTTCTGCTTGATGTCACGATGCCTCTTGCCAGCGGCGAAGAGATCCTGCTGGATGTGAGGCGCTGGTCTCCAGAAACCAAGGTGGTTATTTTCACTGCGGTAACCACGCCGCGAGTTCTCGCGGCGCTTGTGGCTGCGAATGTCGACGGCGCATTTGCCAAAGGTAGTGCGATGGACGAGTTCGAACGTACGCTGCCGATTATCCTCAACGGTGGTCGGCATATTGCTCATGCGATCATTGAACGCATGGATACTGGTCCTGATCCTCTGCATGAACTGACCCCACGAGAACGGCAGGTGCTGGTGATTGTCCTCAGTGGTAAAACGAACCCAGAGATAGCGGAACAGCTCAGCATCTCACCAAAAACGGTAGACAAGCACCGTACAAGCATCATGGCAAAACTGGATCTGCATTCGGTGTCGGAGCTGATGGGTTGGGCGGCCCGGGAAGGTCTGCTAGCCAGACAGGAAACAGATCTATAGCGCCACGTTTGGTTGTTGCCTTCTAGTTAGGCGCCACATCGCGACTGCTGGTTTTCAGTATCCCCCTGACTGCGGCCGCTGGACGCGTGCTGCCTGATCCAGTCCGTCCCAATGGTTGGGCCGCGAAGGTCAATTTGCGTGCTTTCGATTGGGTGGGACGTGGTGTTGGCCGGCTTGTCTGATTCTGCCACTGTGTCCTTCTCTCTGTGCGTAGCTGTGCTCTGGCCTGACGATACGTCGCACGAGCGCTTTGCAGACGTTGCATGGCGTCACTGTATTGATTCTCGAGGTTAGCCCGCTCAAGGGTCGCCTGGCGGATCGCGTTGCGTGCCTGGGATCCGGATTGACCCTCATACCGCCTGCGCACACTTTGTTCACCATTTCTGGCAAGGGTAAGCTGCGACTCCAGCGTCTTTGCAGTTTGACTGGCCCTCATCATCGCGTGTTTGGATTGAGAGGCTTTGCGTCTAACCGGACTGGTTTTTTTTGCGCCAGCGTTTATAGATTGTGCCTGGGTACCTTTGGCCGCCGTCGGCTTGCCTTTCGATGCAGCGTTGGCCGCCGGGAGAACCCAAATTGCAAGCATGATGGCAAAACTGATCAGGTAGGCGTGTTTCATTGAATTTCCCCAGCCTCAGGCATAAGTTCGATGGTGTTGTTATGCAGGTCGCTGTAAGCAGTCAGCGAATCTATATCCGGATGCGGGTTAGTGGCACTGAAAATGTCAGCCAGTGCGTAGGTGATCAGAACATCCTGTTCAACCGCGATGTCCCAGATACGTAGCCCGCCGATCGCGCCTACGAATGAGGCACTTGGACCTGGTGCACTGCCTAATCTGAAAGTGCTGCCGGACCCGGTCGGTAAACTGATGTTAAAACGCCCGAGGATCTGGCCGTCCACCATCAACGCGACGCTGCCGCTGAGATTGATCAAAACAACATGGTGTAAGCGACCATCAGAGAAAGAGAACGGTAGCTCATCGACACTGTCACCCACCTGTAAAGACAACCCCGATTGGTCTCCCAGCATGCTAAGTACGTATAAATGTTCATCCTCACTGGCGTGATAGAGCAGAACCGGATCGTAGTCAGGATCATCCTGCCAGCCTGAAGCCACCCACATCTCCACGGTTGCTTGTTCGGCAAGTGCAAAGGCGGTATGGCTCGGAAACGCCAAATCGCTGCTGGCGGTGAATTCGAGGATGTCGGGCTCGTAACTCGCGGCGTGCACGCTGTTCATAACTAACAGGAAAACCCACGCGATCGGATGCGTTAATGTCATGCGGCTCTGCACTAAATCTGTGGGTCTATGGTGACTTTGGCCGCGCCGCCTGGGGGTAAGAATGATTTCACTGGCTGGGCGGTCTGTTGCGGAGCCGCCAGCTGGTTGGTATTCGGCGCTGGGGTCGAGGGAAGAGGCGGTGGCGCTGTCGTGGGTGGTGCCGGGATCAAGGTTATGCCGCGGGATGCAGCGTACTGCTGCACAGACTGCTCTTTGAGCTTCACCAGTTCTCTTTTCAGATTACCTTGACGTTTTGCGAGATCATGCAGCCGCGCCCTGGTCTGGTTGTCTGCCATCATGTCTGTGACGTTACGCTGCTGCATGTCCGTGACCAGAGCAACCATGCCATCAATGCGTGTGGTGAGATTCTTCAGGTTTCGCGTTTTCCGCTCGATGGACTTTTTCTGCAGCTTTTTTGCGTGTGCGGTAGATACTGGTTTTTGTGGTTTCACTCTGGCACTTGCTGCTTCCGTGATACCGGGTAAGCCGTTGAGCAACAGGGCTATCACCAGGATGACCAAGGCAGTTGGTGAGCGCATTGTTATGATTCTATTCATTGTTATCTCCTGCTGCTGATGCAAATTCCTGATCGAGTGCCTGCACTTCTGCCTCGCCGAGTGTCTCGATTACCTCGGCGCGAGTCATTAATTCAGATTCGTTCAGCACCAAGCTGTCGACAATCGAGAACGTGCCATTGCGGAAATCGCTGATGCCCACCAGGTTGTCGAGGTTCGGATGAGGATCGCTTGCATCGTTCACATCGCGCAGCGCAAACACTGCGGTGTCCTCTGGCTCCGGGGGTACATCCCAGATCCGTATCGCCGAAACAGCGCCGATAAATGGCGCTTTGCCGCCGGATGCGGAACCCACGATAAACTCATTAATTGGACCTGGCTGAATAGACATTTCAACTGAGCCGAGGAGTTTGCCATCGACAAAGGCGATCATTTGTTCAGCAAAATCTAATAGGGCGACATGATGCGTGCGTCCATCTGAGAAGTTGAAAGGAAACTGGCCAAAATCCTGCCCCGTCTGGACAAGTAGTGCGTCCTGATTTGCCGAAATGGATATCTGATAGATGGGTGATTCTGCGCTGCCATTGGCGAGAATTACCGGATGATAGCCTGGGTTGTCGGCCCAATCCGTCCCTACCCAGAACTCGATGGCACCGCCCTCGGGAAGACTCAATATTGGTGCGGAGTCGAATGCCAGAGGCGCAGAGCTTGGAAATTCAATGGTGTCCGGTGTGTACTCCGCGTGCGCAGCAATAGTCGCTGTGGTAAACAGTACCGCAGCAGTTCTTTTGATTGTTTTGAAGCTTCTCATATATCCTCTTTAACTAACGGATTCGTTTTGCGCGAACGCGGAAGAAGAAATCCGGTTTGCCTTTGCTGCCTACTTTCCAGATCTGATCTTTGGTTTTACCTCGAGCAAGTCCGTTTTTAAGGGCGCTGATTCCAACAAACGTTTTGCTGTGGTTGCGCCACTTGTTTTTATTGCTGGGCGTGTAGCGCCACTGCAGGCGCAGCTTCATCGCGTAAGCGGCAATCTGTTCGCGAGTGCCGGTGATCTCGATGAGTCCGGGGCTGCTCTTTTTGTAGCTATGTTTAATAACTTCTTTCTTTTTCTTGCACTTGGTTTCGAAGTTTTTGTGCGGCGTGCTCAGGTAACCCTTGGATTTATTCCCCATAAACGCTTCCATCTCGAGCTTACCCGTCGCGCTGTGGACTAATCCGGCACCTTTGCCGGTACACCAGACCTCACGCACATACAGATGCCAGGTTTCCAGTTTTAAGGGTTGAATCGCAGGCAACAGGCTGCGATCACTGACTTTGTCGGCGTGGCTTTGGATGTAAGCTTCTAACGTACGCTTTAATCCGGCGCGAACCTGGGTGTACACCTCTGGCTGATCGGGGAAGTTCAAATGATTCAGCAATTCATGCAGAGGCCGTAGATCCAGCAGGATTGGGTAGGGTGTGGGGCCGAGTGAGTAGCCATTTTCGTTCCATGATCCATTGCCGCCCACTGCAACAAAGGTTGTATCCTCGGTACCTAAACTGCCGGAAGTGCCACTCACGCTGCCGGCGTTAATGCTGCCGCGTACAGATCCGTTTTGCCCCAGGGCGCCGCCAGCCATTGAGGCGGACACTCCAGCATTCCATTCAGTTACTTTTTTGAAACGCTCTTCGGTTACAGATTGGGTAATCTTGGCTGCCGCGCCGTACGTCACTGCATAGGGATAGTGTGTACCAAACTGGCGGATGATGTGTTCGTAGTTACCAATCTCACGCGCATCGTCAATGGCGTCAATAAAATCATCCGATAACGTGACAAACGGGTGGTCGAGGACGAGGGCATACTTTTTTGCGCGGGAATAGCCGATGGCCTGAGCGACGTGTTTGCTCTCCTCCATACGCTTTAACCAGGATGCAGACGCGTCAACGCTGACAGATGCATTGCCACCAAAACCCGCCGGGTCGGTTTTCCCTTCCAGCGTGGCACCCAGAGTTGTGCTGATAGAATCCTGATACTCTCGAGCGGTGGTGGTCATGCTCTTGTTGTAGATCATACCCTGCACGCCGTTCTGCACAAACTTGTAACCAACCGGGATAATGCGCTGTTCGGTGATGTAATAGCGCTTGGGGTCAAACTCCGCAAAAACAGCCATTTTTTTATTGTTGAGCAGGAAAAATGGATCTTGCTTTACGGCGTCGTATCCTCGTCTGCTGGCAACCAGGTTTTCCAGGTTGGCCTGCAAGAGAAAAGCATCGTTAGACGCCATCTGCTCCTGCATGGCCGCCTCGGATAGTTCGAGGGTGGGTCGTAGGTAAATTAAGTTGTTAAGCCGTAAGCGCGCTCTTTTTGAGGCGGTTAAATCTACTTTGAGGCTTTGGCCCAGATAGCTGGGTCCTTTGGCCCGATAAGTCTTGGTTGGACCATTCTCTGTTAGGGTTTCGGTGAGGGTTAACCCATCGTTGCTGATGAAGTGGACAAAGCCGTTGGCGGAAAGCCCATCGGATACCCATATTTCCTGGTCATCGCGGCCGACGCTGCCTATGAAGAGGTGTCGAGGGTCGGTGTAGTTGCCGTTAGCGAGTACAATCAACTCCGGTGAATCAGTACCCCAGATATCCGGTTGATCTTTGCTGCGATCCAAACTGATATTTCTATTTTCCTGCCACACACCATCCAGGCGCATCCAACAAACACCCAACTGCTTGTCATCTGTGGTGTTGACGCGTGCTTCGTCAAGTGTGAACCCGGCAAATTGACGTTGGGTGACGCGATCTACTCGTGACTCGATACGTTCCCGCGGGCTTACGCCCGCTGGGGCGCTTGGTTGGTCGGGCTGGCAGCCCGTGAATACGTCATAGGTAAGAAATTCAGGTGCCGGCGCTTGCACTGGTTTTTGCGGGTTACCGCCTGGAAGCCGGGTTGTTGTCGGCTCGGTGAATATGGTGGTTTCGTCTTCGAAATCGTATTCAGGCTCAGGCTCAGGCTCAGGCTCAGGCTCAGACTCAGGCTCAGGCTCAGGCTCAGGTCCAGGTCCAGACTCAGTCTCAAAGACGGCGATGTCCTGTTCTTCGACATAGGTATCATCGGCAGGATCAACGCGCTCCTCGGGATCAACTGTTTCCGCCGATACAAATGACTGAACCGGTCGGAGCTGGTATCTGACCGGTCCCAGAGCGGTGGATACGGTAACGTCGAGATCTCCGCTATCGAGCCGCTGCATCTGTGCTCGACCCAGCAGGGGTAAATCGTCGGCTTCGAATGTCCCCGGCCCGACAGTTTCGATGTTCTGCAGGACAACCATATCTGGCAGGATGGTCCAGATGAGGGCGTGCTGCCAGGTGTCCAGAGCGTAGGCGCGTCCCTGCTCTATGCGGATCCGCTTGTTATTGAGCGAGATGACCCAATCGCCATCAATTGCCGATCTCTCTGTTTGCGGTACATCGTTTTTGTTTGGCAACATGCCGGGTATCAAGGCATGTCCTGTTGAAGCCACGAAAACTGCTAAGCCGCAGCAAAACGACAGAGTCCATCGCACGATTGAAGGCTGTGAACATACCGACTTCATTTGGCAGTTAACCTTGTCTGCTCAAACACATGGCGGAATTTCTGGTCGAGTTATCGCGGCTATAGCCTTGCGGGCATCGATAGCAGCCGTTCACACCTTTTTCTGCAATATGAAATTGGCCTGAGGGGCATCGGGCGCCAGCCATGTTCTTGCGTTTGGCTGATTTGAACGGACCCTTACCCCAGGAATTGCGTTTGACACAGGCTTTGGGGTGGTCCATTTCCCTGGTGAGTTTGGCTCGCTTGTAGTCATTCGGACAGGTCCAGCAGCTGCCTCCAGATAAATAGGATTGTTTGCCAGGGCATGAACTCACTACCGGTAACACAGCATCGCCCATGCGCTTCGCTTTAACCTGTGTGATCCTGGGTTCGGGAGTTTCTGCTACGTCTTCATAACTTGTTCCTACGGGTACAAGTTCATAGCGGGTTGTACCCATCGGACCGGTGGCGACAACGCTCAGGCTGCGATTGGCTTTGTTATGTTGGGCCTGCCAATCTGCATCTAGAGGTAGATCGCGACCTTTAAATCTGCCGTTGCCGATATGTTTGACGTCGCGGATAACGACCATGCCAGGGTCGATATCCCAAAACAGCATGTGTTTCCATCCTTCAAGGGCGATCACTCTGCCACGATCTACCAATACCCGTTTGTTGAGGGTTGATATGCGGTACTCTCCGTCGATCCGCATTTTCTTGCCCGGTTTGACTTCGTTGGCGGTAGGCAGGTTGGCCCGAGCGGCGTTAGCGCTGGGTATTGAGACTGAGGTTAACATTGCCAGCGTCAGTGAAAAAAAAGCGACCGTTAAACCGATATGACGACGATGTGTCCACCACATGACAGATCCATTACTTCGTTAGTGTGGAGGCAAAGTAGGGGATATCCGGTGGGCGAGGTATGGGGTGATTGCCCCATATTGTCAGGAGGAGGCGATCACCTAGTGCCGGTAACCAGCCACAACGGGTCTGCACCTTCAGGTGACCGATCAGCAAAAGTGACGTCTCTGAACCCGGCGCGCTCGAGATAGTAGCCAACGAGTTGTATTCGATCTCTGACTGGGAGCTGCTGAAAGGCCGCTACTGCTTTAGTTGGGAACAGCCGATGTGACATAGCGATGCAGATCGCGCCACCTTCTGTAAGGACATCTCTAACAGCAGACATGACGTCGATTGGTTGGATAAGATATTGCACCGAAACAGCCAGGGTCACACGTTCGAAAGTCCCCGGTTCATATGGCAGCCGCGGGTTGTCATTCAGGTTGTGTACACAGTAGTCGGTCAGCCGAGGGTTTCTGGAAAGTTCCGCCTCGTTCATACCTAACCCTGCCACTCTGCTCAGCTCAAGTTCATCGGGTAGATGTGAAATCCAGGAGGACATCAGATCGAGGACCCGCGCATGGGATGGTATAAATTCCAGGTAATATTCAGTCAGGGCATTGATTGTCGCCTCGTCGATGTGCGCGACGAAACGTGGTTCGCGATAAAACAACTCATCGGGTGAGCTATCGGCACGTTGCAAATATTGCGGTGGTATTTCGAAACCATCTTCATTGCTCATTGCTGCAATTCACGTTCGAGGGATGCTGCGGCATTGCCCCGGGGTTTAGACAAGGGTGCTATGAACCGATAAACAAGCGGGGTCAGAAAGAGTGTAAATACAGCAGCCAGACCAAGGCCGGCAAATACGACCCAACCGATTGCATGTCTTGCCTCCGCACCCGGCCCAGTGGAGAGGATTAATGGCAGCGCTCCGAAGACGGTCGACACCAGTGTCATGACGATGGGCCGCAGGCGTACCTGTGCAGCTTTCTGAATGGCATCAGTGACGCTAGCGCCCTGGTCCCGCAGCTGGTCGGCGAACTCTACTAAAATGATGCCGTTCTTTGCCATAAGACCCACTAACATGATCAACCCCACCTGAGAGTAAACGTTCAGTGTCGTGCCGGTAACAAACAGGGCAAACAATGCTGCGGCGAGACCAAAGGGTACAATCAACATGACGACCAGAGCGCTGGTGATACTCTCGAATTGAGCGATGAGTACAAGTAAAACGATCAGCAGTGCAAACGCATACGTTAGCAGAGCGTCACGATTGGTTTCCTCCAGCGTGGCTGCTGCACCCAGCGGAATAAACGTGATGCCCTGGGGAAGGATTCTATCGGCCGATGAGCGAAGGTCACTTACCGCCGACTGTAATGGATAGCCGGTGCGAACGTCGGCGTCAATCTCAATACCCCTGCGCTGAGCGTGTCGATCTAGCTCTGCCGCAACACCTTCCTCTTTGAGGCTAACCAGGGCTGACAGAGGAATAAGGCTCGAGTCTCCTGACCTGACATATAAGTTGGCGAGGTCTGAGGGTTCATTGATCGTCGCACTGGGTGCCTCGAGAAAGATGGGTATCGCATCGTCGCCGACGTTCAGGTCCACTACCTCCATACCGTCAATCATAACCCTGAGTGTGCTTGCGAGATCGGCCAGGGGCACGCCGAGATCCGTCGCGCGTCGGCGGTCGACCTCGATCGAGATCTGTGGCTGAGTTGGCTGGTAGGACACTCGGGGCCGAATGAGATTTGGTAGTCCTGTTTCGATTTCATCAGCCAGTTCGCGTGCAGCCTGATAAATTTCTGTGTAGTCGGTACCAACGAGCGCAACTTCCAATCCCCCTTCGCCTCGCAGACCCAAACTGTTGGGGCTCGATACGCGCACGCTGGCGCCAGGCATTCTGGACAGGATGGGCTGCAGTTCTGCTGCGATATCCTGTTGGCTACGTTGTCTTTCGTCCCAGGGAGCGAGGCGCACAAGAACCTGGGCTCGGTTTGGGTCGTAACGACCGATGATGGTATACAGTGCGGTTGCTTCGCCGCTGTCCAGCAATGGCTGCAACACATCTTCGATCCGATCTCCCTGTCTTTCCGTGTATGCCAGACCGACGCCGTCAGGGCCAGACGCGGTGACATAGAGCGTGCCGCGATCTTCATCGGGCAGCAGCTCCTGGCCGAGCAGAGGATACATCGCTGCTGCCCCCACTCCCAGAATGATGGCAAAACTCGCTGTTATGACAGGATGACGGAGTGAGGTGCTCAGCGCGTTTTCGTAGAAGCCGGTCAGGCGGTTACCGATGCGGGCGAGGGGTCGGCTGGCGTTTGCCGTTCCGCCATCGGCGAAGCCTGCGAGAGAGGCCGGAACCAGAGACAATGCAACGAATGAAGAAATCGTCACCGCCACGGCGAGCACAATGCCGAACTCCTGAAACAATCGGCCAGCGGTACCGGGTAGAAACGCGATGGGTACAAACGCTGCTATTAGAACGGCTGTGGTGGCAACAACCGCGAAAAATACCTGTTGGGTGCCCAGCACAGCGGCAGCTTTGGCCCCTAACCCTTCCTGGCGACGTCGTTGTACGTTTTCCAGCACGATGATCGCGTCGTCGACGATCAGGCCTGTCGCCAAAACCAGTGCGAGCAGCGTCAGGATGTTGATGGAGAATCCGAGCATCCAAATGACGGCGAGCGTGCCAAGCAGGGCAATAGGGATTGCCAGGCTGGGCACCAGCGTAATTCTCAATGAGCCGGAAAACAGCCAGATCACGCCGCACACAACCAGCGTTGCAAGGGCCAGGGAGCGTACAACTTCCCGGACTGAACCGCTGATAAATTCGGCGTTGTCGGAGATCTTGGTGATCTTTACGCCGTCCAGGCGCTGGTTAAGACCTGTCAGCGCCCGGTCAACCGCTGCACTGATTTCTATGGTGTTTGAACCAGCCTGGCGTACGATTTCGAACCCCACTACACGACGGCCGTTAAGTCGGCCGAAAGATTGCGCGTCTTCCGGCGCAAACAAAACGCTGGCAACATCAGCTACGCGGATGCCATCTCGAATCACCAGGTCAGCGATGGCCTCTTCGGTAACGGCGGAGGCATCTGTTCGCACCAGTAAATCCTGGTCGCGGGAGCGAAAGCTGCCAACAGGCACATCCAGAGCCGCTTCGCGCAGAACATCTGCAAGGTCGCTGATGCTGAGACCGTAACTGGTCATACGTAATGGATCGACGGCCACTCTCAGGAAGCGTTGGCGCTGCCCAAACAGAGGTACATCAGCAACACCGGCTATTGAAATAAGCTCGGGGACTATGTCCTTTTCCACGATCCGAGTCAGCGCTTCTTCGGTATAAAGATCGCTTGATGCTGCGAGCACCACAATCGGCTCAGCATCTTCGTCTGATTTGTACACGGTCAGCTGTTCGAGCCCGTCCGGTAACTCTCGTTCGACGCGGCTGACAGCCTCGCGCACGTCGGCTGCTGCTGCGTCGAGATTAATGCCGGGTTGAAATTCGACCCTTATCCGGGCGCTGTTTTCTTCCGAGGAAGATTCCAGCGTGTTAACGCCTGAAACTCTGGCGACAGCGCCTTCTATCAGGCTGGTGACTTCCGCATCCATGGTTTCTGGTGATGCACCCGGGAATACAGCCCGCACGCTCACTATGGGGCGATCGACGTCGGGCAACTCGCGCACTTCGACGCCAAGCAGTGCAGCCAGCCCGGCGATGACAATCAGCAGATGAAGAACGGTTACCAGCCAGGGTCGGCGTACACCTAAGGCGGGCAGGCTGTCCTGAGGCTCGCTCACCGTGCGCTTGCGGCCGTACCTAACAGCCCCCTTGTGTCGTCAGTCAGAGCCTGGGCGTCAAGCACCTCCACCCGGGTGCCCTGACGCATGCGCTGCACACCCTCGGCGATGACGAGGTCTTCGGTGGTCAAAGGTGCATCCAGCAGGATCCTGCCATCCAGGCGCTGGATGACAGTGACGTTGATGCGCTCTGCCAGCCCTTCGCTCACGGTCCAAATATAGGGACCGCTTGCACCCCATTGTAAAGAAAGCTCGGGTACCGCAGGCCAGACC